ATCGATTTTTTCATTTTCGCCCTACAACCTGCCAAGCTGTATGCATCCCCAGGTGGTTGGTGATTTCTGTCTGCCTGCAGTGCTTCCAGTATGGATGCTGGCATTTGAGAGCCCGGAACGACCATTTCTCCATCATTATCAGTTTGATAATGCCCGTAGACCGGCCTCTCTCATGTCAAGTTCCTAAGCTGAGGGTATAATATTTATTTATTATTATTTATCAACTTTGATCAGCCTCTTGACATTCTTGATGAACTTGAAGCCGCGAGAATCGCAGTGGATATCACTGGTGCCAGGGTTTTCAGGTGTGCTTTCTGGAGCGTCCCTCGCAATTGCTGCTGAAGAGTTTCCCTCCGATCATCTTCTTGGAGCGTGGGACATCTGCTACTACCTTTTCTTCCCCCTTCTTCTTTCGAATTTTCTAGCTCCTACGTTTTCGGTTTATTGTCGCCGTTTTTATTCCTGTTAACACGTTGACGATGTTCTGAAGAACGGCAATACCAGTTCCCACCAGGCTCGCTGAGTTAAATGCATTCAATTTGGACTATCTCTGTGCAAGCGTCATGGATCACACTTCTCAGGTAACACACAGAACATCCAATTCAACAGGCTGACGGTAGCTCAGTCCCCCACAAATCTGCTGTTGGACGGCCCACGTAGTGAAAATTACAACAATGGGTCAAAAGCAACTGACGAAAATTAACCAGAAAACCTGAGAAGGGTAAGAAACCTGGTGATAATGGGATTGTAGGGTGGGCGATGGTTGTGTTGCTATTCCGTAACGTTTGACCAGCCCTACTTAACTTGGTGTCCTCTAGTACCTGCCTAGCCAGTGCCTCCCCTGAAGTGTAAGTACTAATAACGAAACATGAATCAAAAGAAGTGGTTTCAGAAATATATTCGAAGAAGTAGTATGTTTAATTAGAATAAATGTGGCGGCAATGAATGAGGGAGAAGTTTATTCAACTTATCTGGCTGGTATGACTGAACTGGGAAGTAAGAGTACGTGCGTGCTGACCAGCGTAAAGGGAACGCAAAATGGCGTCGAAGCCTGCCGGGATGCATGGCCATTAAAACAAAACTTAAAACACCTTAAGCATCCGGAGGCGAGCCAGTGGTTTATCTGTTCATCTCAGTTTAATTTGTTTATTTTAGCCTTAGTTGAGTTTTGGTGCAAGAAGGGCGCAATGTACGCTATCCGCCTCCTAGAAGGTTGTTGGGATGCCGGTAACCTTCGATCCTAGGAGGCAAATGCATGGCGAACACACAACCCTTCATCAGATTGGTTACGGGGTGCGTGGCGTGTGGGTTCCTGAAGCTAGTGCAACTACGCACACCTACAAGGTACAGGAACTTTGGATCTAGACGCAACCCTTCTCGCAGCGGTGGAAAATGGCCCAAAGCCGCCGTCTGCTTTTCCCTGTTGATACTTAATCTATAGGGGAGTGTACAAGAGGGAGATCGGTACCAAAGGGACCCCACAGAGATCCGAGTAGCACCATCAGGGGCGAATCGTACCCAATTTTCAACGCATTTCCTGTATTCTGCAAGGAGAGATATAAAGAACACTGGCATGCTGAGAAAAGAAAAGGCAAACAAAAGCCAAAAGTGGGGCAGGTACAGAAAAAAAGTGCTGAGCAATGCAAAACTTTTTAATTTTTTAATAGTGAACGGAAATTTTGAGAAATACATGTATGAAATGTAAATGCGGTGTCGGTGAGTGCGAGGCTAGAGTGGTTGTGACCCCGGATTTACCAGCTGTGACGTTGTGCTAGAGCTTGTTGATGAAACGGCGTATCGTTTGAGCCAGTGCCCACGCCTGTCAGTACGTGTGGGGGATGCTGGTTTGGTGTCACTAGAGGTGACTTTTTTGGAGGATTCAAGGTACCAACGACTACACAAGTCTTTCTGAGGGTCTGACGGCAAGGGTTTATCCGGCTGTCGGTGTAGAAGAGGGTGGGTCGTCTCCTATATACGCTGCCTTCAAACGGTCGACACTTTTGATGTCTCGCTGTCCGGATCTGTCAGTGGCGAAGAACGCTTCTTTCTTGCTGAGAACCTTGAAGGGTCCGTAGCACGGTGGCAGTTAGGTCTGCGTACATCATCACAGCGGATAAAGGTATATAGAAATAGTAAAGTCCTCTATAATGGTATGATCACGCTTCGTATCTTGTCCGAATGCAGAGAAACTGTTCAAAATGCGACTTCTTTCTGCCAGGAGTCTCACCAATACTCACGATGTACTGCATCACACCAGTGCCCCCCGTCGAGTCATTTGTGGGGCAGTTTCACGCTGTACGCTGAGAAAGCACTATCGTACATTACAATGACACAAATATCAGTGGCTAAGCATTTGATGGTATTTCCTCGCACTTGGAATATTACTGTACTATCAAGGATGAATCTCAGTGGTCAATACTAACACCCCCAGCCTCCATTTTCCCATATCGCTACTAATCATTCAGCGAAGAGCATTTCAACTTTTGCCGATCGGTTTGAAGTTCCGTCCTGACCATCGGCTTGTTACTTGATCGGTCAAGAAGTGAATGCCTGGATGAAGATATTCGACTTATATTGTACTTATGCAAAGTATCTTTTATTTACTCGAAGGTTTTAGCGCTCAGCAGACAGCCTTCTCTGACATGTAGTCGCAAAGTTCGTCAGAACCACCACCATGTGTTATCGAGATTGGTCGAAACTGCCTGGCCTTAAGTGTAACTGAACGCCAGATGCCACTTTTCAGTCTTAGATGGGACCAGGAATGACCAGCTAAATTTTCTGGCGAGTGTTTATTTTCGCAACGACAAAGGCAATCCCGGGTAACTCCCTTACGGTGACACCAATTCATAACATCCTTTGGATCTCTTTAACCGCTACCACCTAGGTTTGGTCTTTACGCACTTACCGACTTTTCCGCAGTGCTGAAAAAATAAATTAGTGTCATGGTCTTTTGATGACAACATCAAGAGATGACTTTTGTCAGGGAAGATTTCCTAGGCCAACCGACAATAGATATTAAGCTTCTGAAAAGCACGGGGCCTGCGTCCATGAGCAGTAAGTATACCTGCTAGTTAGAGACCTCCCCCGTTTCTTTACATATGGAAGGTTTCAGCTGAGACCTCAGAGAACTGAGAAAAAGTAATTCACTTAAAATATGCGCGAACCCGCTGCCCTTCTTGTGGGTGAAATTCTGCAGAGTCTAAAAAGGTCGCCCCTGGAAGTGACCGCTGGCTACCCATCAAGTGTTATCACCAAACCCAATCTACGTCGGAATACCACAATTGATAAAGATTACAATATACCACCTTCTGTATCACTTCATGAAAGATACTGGAAGTGAATTTAATATTCAAACTGTTGCTCTAACAGTAAGGGTGCACCTGATACAAGCAACCAGAAAGTATGATACTCTTGTTTCCAAACAACTTACGCCTAGCAGGAGTATGCTTATATATGCGTACAGTTTTCACCGCCTTGTCTCAGTGGTGAGTATTTTTTGCTACGGCTTGCTGAACCCCTGAAGTCAGTGCATGATACACAAAAATACTCTGTGGGTGCGAAAGAATGCTATCCAGGGGGACCTAACGACAAGTAATTAATTAGGCTTAGAGATCACCTGTACACCAGGGTGCAGGCAGTTAGAGTCGGCTCCTTTCTATCTAATTGGTTCCCGATGCTGAGTGGTGGGCCTCAAGGTTACATACTGGGCCCACTACTGTTTCTTGTTTCTATCAATGACCTACCAGGGGTCCTCAATTCACATTCACTATTATATGCTGATGATCTGAAGATTTGGAGGGAAATACGGGAGCCAACGGATATTTCAGTTTTCCAGGAGGACCTTACGAAAATCTTTAAATGGACTACAGAAAATCTGCTTCCTCTCAACTCAAGGAAGTGTCGAATTATGATAGTTGACAAACATAAAGGCAGTCCCAGTTCTTACTCTCTGGGTGAAATAAATATCTGCCCCTCTAATACGGAACAAGATCTGGGAGTTACACTAAAAGATACTCTAGGAGCCTCAGTCCACTGTCACCTTGCAGCCAATAGGGCTTATGGAATCCTGGGGTTTCTCTCGCGAACTTTAGAGTGTCTAACTCCTCTTCTCACCACAGTGCATGCCCTGTACATTCGTCCTCATCCATAAAAAAATTCGCTTGTAATGTCCACATACTTGAAAAAGGACATGGCCATCCTAGAACGGGTACAGAGAAGAGCTACAAAGAAAGTGATTCGGTTACGGCACAAACCGCACCCAGACCGCTTAGTTGCTGTTCAGCTGCACCCAGTACAACACCGGAGGATCGGAGGGGATGTGATCATGATGTACCAAATCGCCCATAATCCCCTACACCCCGACAGACCCCTTCTAAGCTTTGGTCGGAAACGCGACTTGAGGGGTCACCCGTTAAGAATAGAGCACGAGAGAGCACATGCAAAGATCCGTGCCAACTTATTTACAGTTAGAGTCTGTAAACTGTGGAACTCCATCCCTCCAACAGTCGTTACAGCCCCATCCCCTGATAGTTTTAAAAGGAGGCCAGACACACACCTCGAGTCCTACGGTACCGGTGGGTTGTACTGGAGAAGCTTTCCCCAGATCAGATGCAGCAATACTATCCTAAGACCAGATTAATTAATTAATCGCATTTCTATCCCTTCAGGTTTTTCAGAACCGGGAAGATAATTGTGACCATTCCAAACTCAGAATGTATCTCAATAAGACAGGAGTAGAACCCAAGGAACCGCTGTTCACTGATTCTACAACACGAAGTTTAAAGCTTGAAATAACGAATGGCATAATTAAAAATTTGAATTCAAAGAGTATAAGCCAGAAATTCATGAGTGAAAAATGAAACCCTTTGTTTTCAGTAGTTATTGAACGGCAAATTTCACAACAACCTTCAGGAAATTACCTAGTCGTCTTTTCTTTTACCACATCAGAACTTATAGCTTAAGTGGTCACATGTTGCCGGGTCATTCAGTTGAGAAACAAAATGGGTATTGGTCTGTTGTTTTGTCTTTGTCCCCGTGACTCTTATAAGTTAGAGTTTTTATAAAAGTAACTTAGGCTGATTTCGGCAAATGTTTTGCTCATTTTACCTTTGTCATGATGGATACTAACGTTGTGAAATGTTATGAAATATGTTGTGTATTGTTTTACAATATTTTAGCTGATTGGGATCGCTGGGTTATAACAACTGATGATAGGGTTAAACATGATGCACAGTTTCAGTTCCTCAAACCTATCAGGGGTTATATAACAGGTAAGTTATCTACTGATTTGTGATTTCGTCTGTTTAGGCGAACAAGCTCGGGTTTTCTTCATGAGGTCGGGTTTATCGGTTATGATTCTAGGACAGATTTGGTAGGTCATATTCCTTTAATATCATAGCGGATATTTCCAGGGCGCTCGCAGACATAGGCATGGATGGAAAGATGGACAAAAAGGAGTTTTCGATAGCTATGTTTCTCATAAAGAAAGCATTAGAAGGCACGCCCTTACCTACTACCCTGCCTCAAGGTCTTAAAAATGATCCTCAGCCTTCATTCATGGCACCATGTTCTACACTTGCTCTGAGTCTAGTTAGCAATTCGGGTAATTTTTCCTGAATTATGCAATGTGGTTTTTAATGTTTTTTCAACTTCAGAAATTAACAGCTTTGAATTGATCAGTGATGTAAGGGTTTAGTTTTTTAACATTTGACGTCATACCTGTGATATCTGCTCAGAAAATTATAGTGGAGTTTAATCAAATGAAATCTACTCAACTGATTCATTTTTATAGATTTTGAGATTCACATAATCATAGTGTTACGCAAGGCCATTGGGTTATTAAAACTGACTCTACAAAACTTAGTTGCCCTAAGTTTATTGTAACTTTGGTCATTTCATACAAGCCGTATTAAAGTTCAGATAACTTTTAAAAGCATTAATAATTTCTCGTATGTATGTGCATTAACTGATAATTTAACTGTAATCAGCAAAGTTCCATTCCTTTTTGTTTACCAAGTTCTTTAAATAACTTATGTGGTCTACTCATCTATTGTATTTTGTAACATTCAAACGTTTTTGCATTACTGCCCTCAGTGAATGTAAGGCCCTATATCAACTAAACATACGGTCGACATCACACTAGAGTTCATCAAATCACTGTTAGAATTTTATTCTCCTCCATCTGGATTTGCACAGACTGTTGTTAGCAGCCACTGATTAGCAGCATTCCTTAGTAAGGGCCGAAAAAGCATCACTCACCCAATCTGTTCTCCAAGAGGCTTACTTATTTTCTTATTTTGAGTACGGTTAGTTGATATTAGTCTTCACAACAAATTATTTGCTTGAAATCTCACTGAGAAATTCGTCTACAAGTTAGTCTTTAGGTTGTAAAATACTTACTGGACTGTGTACCATATTCCTAGTGAATTTTGTATCTGATATCCATGTCGTCACTCATTTCGCCAATGATTGTTGAAAACACTTATTTCCTGGTCAGGTCAGAATAGTGTATCTGCTGTATCCTCGTCGAATGGACAAGATTCTAATTGGCTATCTTCAGGCTACCAGGACTGGGTTATTTCGCCGAGCAATCGTCCACGTTACCGACTTCTTTTCAACCAACATGATCGCAATAAACGTGGTTTCCTTACTGGTGTCGAAGCAAGAAGTATTCTTTTACAGTATGGTCTTTCAAACCCTATTCTCGCTCATATCTGGTAAGACGAAATTATTTTTCCCTCTTCTATTGATGGTTTACTTTACTGGGTAATTTTCTTTATGATTTTTTGGTTAGTAATAAATGTACTTGCAAATATATTGTAAATTTCCTCAGTTCGAAAAAATGAAATGTGGTACATCTGTTTATGCCTTCACATCACATTCCAAATAACTTCGCGCGAAATATGTTAGTCCTGAAAATGATTGTATTCATTTTATTTTGTCAACATATATACTAGGATGCTGTTTTATTCTTTCATTCATAGGAATCTTGCGGACATAGATAAAGATGGCAATTTGAACTGCGATGAATTTTGTATTGCAATATTTTGATTGAAAAAGCACTTTCTGGATCTCATCTTCCGAATACACTTCCTCCTGTCTTCTACCTTCAAATCAATCAGTATGTATACGAAAGTTTTTTCCCCAGACTGAAAGTTTTTTACTCATTTTCATACTGTTTTATTGTGGTCAACTAACTCCTTTTTTACGCTCGTAAAGAAAACGAGTTTTTGAATGCTTTTACTGTTGAAAGTTCGGCAAATAGTTGTCACATTGGCGTGGTAGTTAGGTTTCATATCACTCATTTGGCTGAACTGACTAAAACACTCGTTCGTTCAAGTTCCCGCCATGCTAGAAAGGATAGTGGTAAGACAAAGTTACCAATGGGTGTTAATAGCCACACCATTATGAGAGTCGTATTATCGGCTGGCTGTGGTGTGATATCAGTAAGGTGTTTCTTTTGGATGACCAACAGTGCCACGTCAATGCTCTCCTCCGTATGGTAACGGTGGGTCAGAAAACGTCGACCCTTAAACTAGCACACTCACTTGGACTTGGCCGGTGATGTTCTGATGCCGTTGGTACAGGTCTTCTCTCCGACGTTGGAACAGCCAACCTCAAAACAACAGCCTGCAAAAGGCCATATGTGACAGGCCTCAAGTGGATTTCACACACACACACACACACACACACACACACACACACAAATCTTTTCTCGTTTGCGGTACCTTATGAGAGAATAGCCTTCCACGTCGTTGGCATCTGAGAACTGTCAACTGCCTGCACTCTTCCCGTAATACACAAGGCCCAATGAAAATCAACATATTTTCCTCTTTTGACTTCACCTCTTGATACTAATAGTAAGCCTCTTACATCTTCCTGAACATCTCACTCTACGACCGTTGCGAACGATCTAAACCTCATTTCTAGTCATTGATACTGACTGATGCGAGAAGACTCATTCCAACTAGCTCTGATCACAGTGAAGAGTGAAAGCAACTTAAACATAAATTGATGAAGAGTCATCGTAATGACCGCGAGCAGTAGTGGGTGGTGCTAGTGAGGGAGCTGGAGTAGGGGTCAGCGGTGGGTAACACTCGTGAATGTTTTAGGCTGATTAGAGATACCGGCTAGAGCGAAACGATGGTTATTGAAGCCGTCACCGTCATCATCGTGGAAAACCTCCCAGAATAGACTGGTTGAACGTTTGGCGGAACTATGAAGTTCAGTCCGACTGGTCCACAGCTAGGCTTCAGTTGCCGAACATCCAACATGAACCTGAATAGGACATGGATGTTGGTCTCCCAACTCTCCCTGAAGTTGAGAAGGCTGTATCAAACGTGAAATGATCCAAAGCATCAGGACCTAAAAGCTTGTCACCTAACGTTTTTGAGGATGAAGGTAGGAGGCTGGTGTTTAAAGTGATGGAGGTAATAGGTGGTATATGAGAATCAGATGTAGTATCGTCAGACTGGTCTACTTCTCTGGCTATCCTAGTCAATGAGAAGGGAGAGATATCTTTCTGTGACAGCTATATAGGAATTAGTTTGACTAATATTATGGCCAAGGTCCTAGGATCCAAAGTTATTCGACGCCCAACAGAAGTGTGAGAACTGTGAACTCGAGAAAACCAGGCGTGTTCAGACAGCGCTAGACGAGGGTGAATCGATCACATTTTTACCCTCCGACTGGTTCTGGAACACAGAAATACTTACCGGCAGTTGAAAATCGGCGTATTCGTCGACCTGTGGGCAGCATTTGACTTAGTCAACCATGAGGTGTAGTGACAGTGTCTGACTGTTAAGGAAGTATGAAGCGAGTATATAGTACTTATCATAAGTCTGCACTCGAACTCACATATCCGCTAAACAGCTTGTGGAGAGTTGCCATCATAATTGACGAGAGCTAGTGGTATCCGCTAAAGGTGCGTACTGTCGCCGTTGCTATTTAACTTTGGTATAGACGCTCTGATGGACATAATCCTAGGTATACTTGACTTCACGGGGATTGGCCTACTGTCTGGTGACCGTCTGGTTGACTTGGGATAAGCAGAGGATATTGTCCTCCTGGGCGAGTACTAACAAACTGCAGGGTTTTCTGAACGCATTGAACAGAAATCTGAGTACGTTTGGCATGCGTTTCTCATCTGCCAAATGTGAGGTGGTGTTCTCGGACTATTATGCTGCAGGTACTCTCAGTTTAATGATAGGGAGTGAAGCGGGGTAATGTGTCTACCACTTCACTTACTTGTGGAGTTGTATCAGCCCGAACGGACTGATTGCTTACGAAATCTCAGCTCAGATGCAGAAGGTCTGTTTGTCATTTGCGAAACTGGATCATCTGTTGCGCCGACTAGTGAGATATCTGAGTGTCTATCAAATTAGAAGTACACTATTCTACAGTTCGTTCAGTTCTGTTGTGCTGTTGTTGGACATGACCGTTGAAATTATAAGATGTGAAGCGCTTGATGTATTTTGATTCATGATGTTTTCATAGCATAGCTCACTTCCGCTGGAATCACCGCGCAAGGTCATGTGATGCACAGATATATCGTACTAATGGTTTATCTTGTCGGTAAAGCTAGCAGCCATCATTGGAAGGCAATGAATATCCTCCTTAACCTTTAAAGCACTGACCGTATAGATCAAAATAAATCATAATGCAATAAAAATTCAGTTTAGTTTTGGATATTTCTGTCTTTCCTTTGGAAAGAGGAATGCATTACAATGATAGCTAATATTTTTTAAATGTCATGTGTGTAAACTACTTCTTGGGTACTCCCAAACCTATAGGTAAATCGGAATTTAAATGTGTGACTTACTTACTAAACGTCTGTTTTTAAACGAGTCGCAGCTGCATTAGCCGTTTGGAACGTTTTGGGCACTACTTGTTAGTGAAAGTCACGTGATCTCAGGAATTATCAAAAATGTGTTGTATGACAGTATAAAGTTTTAATATAATTTTAGCGTGTTTTGAATATCTGTGAGTATGTCAATGCAGTTCTTGTTTTACTGGATTCATATTTTGTGAATTCACTTACTTTCTGCTCCTGCCAAATAAGAACAGGTTCACATGGAGATTCAAAACTGCACTATCTATGCCTTCTTGATGGCGTTCTATTTTATTAGATGGGTGTAAAATTGTTGACAAGTTCTAGCTGATTTTGAAATGGATATGACTGACTCAAAGTTGCAGGAAAACATCTCACCTGACATCTGTTAAATATTTTAGATACAACTGTGTGGATACTTTCTCTATTGTTTCGTATCATGTTAAATTCTTCATTTCTTTTCGAATTGGATCTCATAGTAATACTATTATAATAGGTTTTTTGAATCAGGGCATCGATTTGCTAATTTATTTTCGTAAGACTCAGTCGGTTTTCATCTATATCTCCATCACTCTTAGAGACATATCTGAACGTGCAATTGTTACTTCTCAATATTATGAGTAACTATCATGTAATTCGCGTACATTCTTTCTAAATTGAATTATGTAAAAACATGAAGTTCCATCAATCACTTAATGTAGAATAGCTATCACACAGTAAAATGGTATAGACTAAAAGTCACTTGGTAGATCTACGCTATCGCCATTCATATCGTTTGGAGCGATCTTAAAAATTCCATTGATTTCAAGTCGAAGAGGGATGGTAGACTCTAGCATTCCTGCCAAATCCAGCTGTTGATTAGGAAAAAGGCAGAGAGGTGGCTGTATGCCTTCATTTTACCTGAGGTGTTTTTCGATAGGGTCTGTAAAATCTTAAGGAGCTTTTCAGGCATACCTCTCTCTAACAGGTAGTTTCAGAGCATACGTCTGCCCAAAGAACCAAAGGCAACCCTAATCTCAAGAAACACGACAACTTTCGACCTTCAATACTTGTGACAATGATAAAGCATTTGACAGGATGGATGCATGATTGATCAGTCCACAACCCGAACGAAACCCGGTCTGCTCCTCATGGATCAGTTTATCATGCGATTTACAGAACTTGCAAAGTATGATGAAAGCCACTATTTTGGACGTTACTGGTAGCAGATTGATATTCCGCTGACTACCATGCTGCTGTCCACCCCAAGCAAAATATTACGCCGCATCATCCTGGAGAGACTGAAGGATGCGCTAGATTCAAAATTACGATCGGAACAGGCTGGCTTCAGGAAGAACAAATCATGTGCGGATCAAACTGCAACGCTTCGCATCATCATAGAACAGAGTATAGAGTGACAGTCAACTCTCTACCTAAACTTTGTCGACTTTGAAAAGGCCTTTGACAGCGTCGACCGAGAAGTAATTTGACAACTGCTTCAACACTACGGAATGACACAAATCTTTATCAACTTCATTCAACAGCTATATGAAGACATCACATGCCGAGTGATCCACAATGGAAAGCTCAGTGACGCCTTTGAAGTGAAGACAGTAGTAAGACAAGGCTGCACCTACTATCACCCATGATCTTCTTGATTGTAGTGGACTGGATCATGCGGCAAATTGAGAGGAGCGAAAAGGTGGGTATACACTGTTTGACCGATGACAAGACCCTAGAAGATTTGGATGTCGCCGATGATTTATGTTTAATGTCGCATATACTCGAAGATCTACAGGTGAAAACTAACAAGTTGACAGAAGAGGCAGCAACAACGGGACTTTAAGTTAATATAGAGAAGACGGAGGTGATGAAGATACCTGACGAACAACAGCATGAACAACAAGCACCAATCACCATCAACGAGAGAAACGTAAAGAAAGTAGTCTCCTTCACCCACCTGACTAGGCAGCATCGTTTCAACTACAGGTGGCACTTACAAGTATCAGTAATAACAACTGATACACGTTCCACAAGCGGTATCTTTCGTGATTCAGTAGCCTAGTGGATAATGGTTTGGTGTTTCAAGCGATAGGTGCTGAATTCCAGTTTATTGGGAATAGTATCACTCACTTGGGATGCAGGTGTATCCAGGTGACGAGTCCCAAATACAACGAAACACACCCTGAATCCACTGCTAGCCATCACCAGTCAGTTATGATTCCACATCTATTGTCTTGAAATGCATATAAGTACCATTGAAAACATGTTGACTGGTTTCCTATGCGCTAAGAAAATAGAAAAGGTTCTTCTGATCTACTGTTTTTGTTGGTCAGCGTTTTACTTAGAGGTCTTTCGCTTTTCATCTCAGCTCTACAGAAAGGCTAACCACTGTCATTATTAGTTGTTTTTAATCATCTGTAATAGTCTGAGCCTTTTAGACTCTCTCCAGTGGATAACCAGGGTTAAAACGCAACTTGACAATAATTTGTTGCTAGTGCCAGTAGCTAGATAATGGAGCTGTTACTCATTGGTTTATGCACTTGATTTTCAACCAGAATATGGCAGATTCGAGCTCTGCTGAGGTAGATAAGACAGTACCACTAGCCTGCTGCACGAATGTGCTAATGGCTACCGATTGTATTTCTTTTCTATTTTTTCTCATAGGTTGTTTGTAAAAGGCGTTGGCAAGTCTAACGCTCCATAGATGTGTATTCTTCTAAATCAAACAACTAGCTATCTGTTTCATTCTTTTCGAATCCGCCGTATTTATTATCTATTGGAAGCAAAATATCTAGAATGCTCTGAGTTTTCATTTCAGAGACCCATTATTTGTCATACTCGTGAGTAAATGCGTCAGAAAGACCGGTCATCTTTTACATTATTTATTTAATGATTCCCGTATACATCAACTTAACGTACTATTTACCGAATGTAAGTATTTTTCTTATTTCATTTATTTTCTGGATTTATTTTGTATTGTCAATTAGACGCAATTGGATCATGCAGTTTATCATTTAGAAATATTTTCACCGACTTCCCACCAATGTCTTGTGAATCATTCACTAAACAAATTGAATTAGACGGATCTGTCGGTCTCAAAGTGTATTTTACTATGGAACTTACTGTTTGATGCGAATATCGCCAATAATAGTAATGGTAACAATAATGACAATACTAAGATTTTATTCACTTTGAGTAGAGTTTGATTGATTCTCTTGTTACTTGTGCTTCATGTTTATCTTATCAATTTATTCCTACACATTTTATGCCTCATTATCATCATCTCATCACCATCATTGACAAGTCAACTTCAACAATAATGTTAAACTATTTATCTGATTTATTTTATAGGTGTGATAATTCTATCTTATATATATATATATATATATATATATATATATATATATATATATATATATATATCATTTACTCACTCATTCACGCTTCCTTTTATGACACAAATACACAATCTTCAAAAGCTCAACGTTGCTTAGAAATCCTACAGTCTATTTCCAGTTGTTCTTCTCTTTTATTTTCTCCACCTTTTCATCAGTTCATTTTCTCAGCATAAACGAAATACCTCTGGCTTACATATACTTTTATGATTTAGGTGTGAATAACGATTTCTGTTTTCCAAATCATTTCATGTACAAAACGAATGTTTTTGGTGTAGTTTATCATTGTTTGATCATATCTGTTTTGTTTCCTATAATTTATGATTGTTCAAAATATGTTAATAAATGTTTTATAAAGCTTTTTTTCTTTTCACTATCCTTTCTTTGCTTTATTTGATATATTTGTTTTTGTTGTATTACTGACTGACCCCCTTAATAGAAGCTTAATGGCTTAGTATGCTGAATTAGCATATACTTGTAGATTATGCTATTACTTGAGTTGATTGTTTGAGAGATGTACAGCAACTAGATATATGTACCTTCTGACCATAGATCTCATGTTCACACGCCGTTACCTGGTTTCATCTTTCGATAGTGAATATATTAAAAACTTGTTTTAAAGTTTCATCAATCCTGAACTGAGTTTCAATAATGTTTATATTGTAGCGTTAGTGCAATTACTTTTTTAAAGAGATGAAGGTTCTAACTCAGTTTCAACTTTCCTTTTTCAGCAATAAATTATATTGTTTGCTTTGAAATCTTTTTTAGGATCCATCGATTGTGAAGCAACTGAATTTAGCTCCAGATATAAGGGAGGATTATGCTGAACTTTTTCAAATCACTTTGTGGACTAGCATTGTCTTGATCCTTGTTGTATGGGGTGTTTCTTGGGGTATTTGGAATATGGATCCCGGTCGAGATGGGATTATCTATCGAGGTACATTGGCAAGACCAAAACAAGATTAAAGTTATGCAATTCATATGACAAGAAAAGGTGGGACTGTTGGAACAAAACATTGCATAATTTAATATATTTATCAAATGATTTACCTGTCTTTTATCTGTATTCATTAAACCGATAGCCCTTTTGGTTTGTTGAGAAATATTTTACAAATTATTAAACCTCATTGAATGAATGAACTGTTTATTTTTATTATCATGCAACGTTTACAGGAGTCTATCATCAATTACATAAAAGGAAAAATATCGAGACATTTGGCATGTTGTTATCCGTGTGTTCTTAGACCTTCATTTAATTACTTCTCTATCATTAAATTTGTAGTAAATATAGTATCAACATTACTTTAGTATTTCTTGATAATACGATTGTTTGATTTCTAGTGAAATGATCTGAAAGCTTTACTACACTCACTAATTTCTCTGTTGAGAATTAAACAACTATTCACTAAAACGATGTTGCATCCTGTAGGATTGATTTGTTATCGCCACATCATGCACTGTTTACAACGATAACAATTGGTCCTTTATGTTGAAAACCAAGTAGTTATATAAATAATGTTGACATTAATTAAGCGCGATTTGATCTGAAAGTACCAAAAACTCATGCATTTACTAGTGTTTTGCTCCCGGAAAACATCTTCTACCATGACTTGGTGGTTGGTTTGCATTTCACTGTCCTTTCCCATAGGACGAGATAGGAATGGTACGCATTGAAATTAGCCTCTGCAGTTCAATCCCACTCACGTGCTATGTCACCAAATTTCTGATTGGCACTTGACATATTACCTTATATGTGTCACCAACAAAATATCAACTACCTATTAAATGATGAGCATACTGTGTCACAGTTAACCATGATTCATTGTCTTTTTCAAATCTCTTTGGTACTAATCCTATGTCATCTTTGATATCCTTTCGCTTATCAACCTTCGATAACGATACCTTCACAAAACAGCATCTTCAGATTCCCTAAGATATCTCTCCAATCTTGGTGCTTTCATTTTCCACATCGTAAGCGAAATCGACCAATAAGTTTCACTGGAAACAAAACTCTAGGATCTCGGGCAACGGATATGTGCTGTGTTATCCGGCACTCATACATCACTCAACTGTGATTACTCAATTAGCCACTCACAGCAAATATGCTGAATTCAGTAAATCTATAGTTCGAGTTTCTTCAAATCATTTAGCTAGTTCTCTCGGTCTTTTTCGCGTAGATACAGCATTAAGTGCTAAGACAGAAAGTGCACTGGTCGACAGGATCCCAGTTAACAGTCACTTATGCGCCGTTCGACTGAATGGATCAGTAAGGAAATAAAGGAATAGTGAAAGTCACCGTTATCTATTTGTAATCTCTGCTTACGCACCGATTTCCTGCAATTCGGATGAAGTGAATGATGAGTTATTTCAGAAACTGTTTAGTCTCCTACAGAAAGTCAAACGTTCATATGTGATTGTTGTTGTTGTTTTGCAAGTGATTTCAATGCATAAGCGAGTAGGCTTCGTCAGGCAGAAAGGCATATATGTGTGGGTGGCACTTTCGGAATCCCCTCCGAACGAAAAGATAACGACGATCGGTAGCTACAACTGTCCTCAAGAAAAAACCATTTATTTCTGATCAGCACGAGCTTCAGACAATGTGTGATGTGGCGTCCACCGATCTCGAGTCGGTGTTAAACACAGACATATTTCCATTAGTTGTTCGTGGAGAGAGTTGGTCGGAGCACGCGTGTGTCAGTGCCTCAAGACCATTCTGAGAAACTTTCGAGGATGAGAATACTAAGGTTGCTCTAAACGAGTTAGTGGCTGGATATTAACCGCTGCAGGACAACATAGTTTATCCTGAACAAGCTTGATGCCATCTGCAGTCTGCTGTAAAAACAGCGTTGAAGACCATAGTTGACTCTCAAAAGAGGTTAGGCAGGATCAGTGGATGTTAGTAGCTTCTTCTAATTTGATGAAGACGTAGGAATGCATTCCTTCAGGCTCTGAGCACGTTGAGGAGGGAGCGGAAGTAACCGAAATGTATGCTGACAAGAAGTTTACACAATGACCCTAAAGAGTGATGGGTGGTGAATACTTGACAGATGGAAAAATTGATGGTGTTAGGTAACAATAGACAGTCATTTAGAGTTATCAAGGAAACTGGGTCACAAACATCAATTGTTAGTGAGACTATAGTGGATAAGAATATATGTGTCTGCGATTCACTGGGAGAGCAGACGGTTGTAATGATCTATGGAACACTTCGAGGATCAGTTCATTTGACGTCCCACTGTTATTTTGTTGTCCGCTGTTCAGTCGGATTCTCAGTGGAATATGGTTTACCTCTCGTCGTCTGATTTCACGCGTATTGATCTAACTACAGGAGAGTGCTTAGTAGGCCTAGAGTTAATGTTGCGGTAATGTTTTAAGGAGAAGACCCCGACAAGATGTAGAGTCTTCTTTATGGACATCTCGAATGCTAATTCAATAATGTTTGGAATGCGTTTCTCACCACTGAAATGTAACAGAACTGGTCTCCAGTGGTGCCTTGTTTAAAACAGGGAATGAAATGATTGAGCATGTCGACCACTTCACTTACTATGGAAGTCGGGTCGGGCCTAATGGCCAAGTGACAGACTATCTATAGCGCCACCGTGATATCCGATTGTCCATTACGGATCGAGTGTACTGCTCTGCAGTTCGCTCTCCTCTATCATATGACCGTGAAACAGCCATTAAGGGCTGACGATATGAGGAGGCTTCAGGTGTTTGGTCACCGTTGCCTTAGTAGTGTAGTCTGTGTCGTCGTGTCACCGTATCAATAATAAAGAAGTGGGGTGTAGAGTTTTAAGGAGGAGGGGAAAATCACTTGTTGAAGTTATGAACCTTCATCGGCTCAGGTGGCTAGTACACGTACGCAGACGATACTGTCACGCTGATAAAATGCAGCGTCTTTCTAACGCATTGAGTGGCAATCTGAGTACGTTTGACGTGTTTCGCGCCTGTGAAATGTAAGGTGATGCCCCAGGACTGGTGGGGAACGACTCCCATATGATTGATAGGGAGTGAAGTGTTACAACATGTCTACCACTTCACCTACTTGATGAGTTGGATCAGATCGAGGGGCTAGTTGCCGACGAAATCTCAGCACGGATAAAGAGAACCCGTTTGACACTTGCCAACTCGTGTCATCTCTGGTCTCGACTGGTGAAATATCCGATAACCTGTCGAAGGACGAATATATTGTGTTGCAGTCCGTTCTGTCGAGTTATGCGTCTGCGAGTCACAACCGTTGAAAGCAGAAGACAGGAAGCGGTTATAGGGTATCTATATAACATTGTTCTCGTATAGTGGAGTCAATGTGTGAACGATGTTGAGGCCAGGCGAAGGGGATTAGGTAAAACAGACAAGTCAGTCAACGAGGTCGTGAACCTTCGTTGGCTGAGGTAGCTTAGAAATGTGTTGCGCATGAGGATCCATTGGCCTATCTCGATGTGTCATGTTAAGGGAAATTGAATTAGGTTGAAAGAAGGTTCAGGGTGGTCAGACCATGACCTGACACCAGTCAATGACACCTCTTACTGCTGGTCTGGGTCGTGTGTGGCGATGTAGACTGCTTGGTTGGGGTCCCCGAGACGGAAGGAGTCAGTGGTTGAGGACTCTTAGTGACAAGGCTGGAAATCGGTCACAGTGGCGCAGATGTATTCACTCTTTGACGCCTTGTAAAGCTTGAATATTTGCACTAACCTTTACCTTCAAATTATTTATTCTCTCATACAACTTTGTCTACTTTGATATCATTCTGTTTCTATCCATTTGTTCTTATTACCTCTCTGCTCTGATGTGACAACGGACCGTCTGTAGGACGCTGTTTATCCCAGGTTTGGATTTATTATGACATTCATGTGAAGCCTTAAGTTGGTTGTGGCAACGTGCTGGTATTATGTTCGATTTTGCGAAGCTGGGTTAATGTAGTTGTGTGTGAATAAAAGATATCAAGAAGGTAACGTTTGAAAGAATGTTTTGTGTCTTTTGCTGGTGGACTTTGATGGCGGATGGAATAAGATACAGGTTACACATGAGCTCAGAGTTGCGACCGTTAGGCGCACATAGTCACATAGTTTTAACGGTGAAGCTCGCCAGTGTTTTTCATCGCGTTCCAGCCGTTATCGGTGAATAAGGAGAACAACATTCACCAAGTTTATGACCAGCGTACGAGTTGTTTTTAATATGCAGATGAATCTTCTAAACGCGTCTCACCCGATGATTATTAGAAGGCTAGAAACGTTTAAAAAACCTCGCCTACTTAAATAGTACCCTAGATACTAGCCGGTCAAAGCCGGGATAAAGAGGAAAGAGTGGACATAGGGCTACCAACCCTACCCCGTAAACCCAATCCCACCACTACAGAACCTTCAAAGTACAGAAAAATTATAAAAAATAAAAGCAAAACTATTCCTCGCTGAAATCGGAGAGACGAGATGACGCCAGTTGGTGAAAGCCTTCGAGAAGCCAATTGACCAATGTGTTTTCGCATCTCTCGATGAAAGCAAAAGTAAACATGAGGACATGGATTGCACACACCATGCATGAAACTGGCAAGGCTGTCCAGATTGCAATTGAGATGAGAAGGTATGGCATAGAAGTGCTAGGAATCTGCGAGGGATCTGCAGACGGAATGGAAGTGGACTCTCCAAACTGACATAATATACTCGGATATTGTCACCCAGACGACAACCAAGAGCACACTGAGTTATGGAGTGGCTATCATGATGTCCTCTTGAAGAGCATCGTAGGCTCTGTCTCATGCAGTGGGGACCAATCTCCTCCTGCAGGATCAGGATCATGACAGTAAGATTCAACTCAAAAGGAAAGAAGGAAGGTAGGTCACAATCATACACTACTACGCTATGCTACGCACCTACAAATAATGCAGATCAAGAGAAGGAGGGGAATTCTACAGACAACTGCAATCAGTAATGGACAAGACTCCACCCAAGTTGGCGACATGAAAATTCCAATGAGTGAGGTGACATGATTACCAAACTGGGAGCGGACAACACAGGTAGGGAGCTCACCATGGGTTGAGAGACACTCGGTGATATGATGAATGAGAATGGAGAACTGTTTGCACACTTCTGTGCATTCAACGATTTGGTGATTGGAGTCAGGCAGTGTGTACGAACACAAGGATATTCACAAGGCAACGACATGGATTTCACCAGACACCAGGACACACTAGAAACCAGATCGACTTCATCTGAATGTGAAGAAGGTGGAGAAGGAGTCTACTGGATACAAGATCAGATCAAGAGGAGAGAGGAGCAGATGTAGGTTCACACCACTCACTTGACTATCTAGTGCAAAGAACCTACTTTCCAAATCAATTTGAAAGCCTCAAAGGAGGCTGGTGATAGACGACCACAGTTCAAGTCCAACAACCACCCAGAACAGAGACTGAACTGAAGGACGAAACTACAAAGGAGATTTTCACGTCAGTCAGCCATCAAGACAAAATGGGAGACATTAAGCAACATCTCTGAAGGAAGCTGTGTGGCTGAACACTGGAACTCTTTGGAAGCTATGTGGAAAGAAACCTGCATAACCGTGTTAGGGAGGAAGAAGAAGAAGAGGCGAGACAAGGAATGGATCTCGACGTACACATGGGAGTTGATAGACGAGGGACAGGAGGATGGTGAAGCAGAAGATAAACGAGTGCAAGGAGGAACGACGAGAAAAGGAATTGATTACAACG